ATCAAAATTTATCAAGTGTTATCAATGTTTTATTGTTTTTTCTTTTTTAATTTGTACTTTTCCTTTTTTGAAATGTATTTTCAAATCTGACTAGCTTACTGGATATTAGGTTGACACCATTTCAGCAGAGAACTACCTGTAGATAGAAATGCATATTTGTATCTTCTTACAAATTCATAACTTCTTTACTATGCTCGAAAGATCGAAGCATGCTGCTGAATTGTGTTTATCACCAGCCGTTTCTAATTGGACTTCGTCCGCTATCAGTGCGGTAGAAATTTTTGCCAACGTTAGGCAATGCCGAAAGATCCTTTGGCTTCAGTGCCATATTTGGCTTTAGTTTCAATTAAAAAAGTGGTACTAATTTCGAAGTTGTTAGTTATTACATAATGCGAATCAATTGCTATAATTGTTCTAAGTTTTCCTCGTTAATTTTATATTAAAATATAAAATTATTGATAATAACGAACATGTGTTGCAAAAATTGTAGTTTTCTTCATATATTAAATCAAGTTCAACAAGAAAAAATATGGGAATATAAGAGTTTTAAAGAATCACATTTGATACAAGTCCTTTCATGGTTAAACTTTTGGATACTCCAATTAAGAATGGTTTTTTCCCTCCCGTGATTCCGTGATTTCTAAAATATGTTTATTGTGTTTAGCATTGCTTGTGCTTATGTACTCGTCTGCTGAAGATTCTGTGGATAATTAAACTAATAGCGGAAAACGTTAAAAACACGGAAGTTTGTTTTTTGCGCAAGAACTGAGTGGCAAAAATAATGAGCTTCATAATGAATTTGAATTTGCCACAAGTTGCGAGAATTAACTGAGTATTAGTGGAATCAAAATATTTCTCGATATCCTTTATAGCCGCTTGAAATCCAAAAGTATTTTGCATTAAGTGTAAATTCCGTTGCGAATCTCGTCTCGTTTCGACATGTTGAGTTCTGTAATTTGGCCACAAGGAAATCTTCCGTTTTCCTTGTCACTTTATGCGTCTTAAAATATTTCTTGGCTTTGTATTATTCCTTGGCCATTGTTATATTTATTTAAAAGCAGGAAATAGGACAGTAAGCTCGATTTATTAGCGCTTTGTCGAAAATATTTTAATTTTTCTTCGATTTTCCAATTCATTAATTTTAATTTATTTATTATTCACTAATATGATTATTTTATAAATCTTATTATATTTATTGGCTTTTTAATAGGCGATTAAAAATGAAACGATTTTAAATATCTCCCTTTGTTGATTTATTTCAATCATAAATCCTTTGAGGTTTATTCTTTTCATTTATTTTTAGTTTCTTATAAAAATCTTTTTTTACTATTTCTATTTTGCTAAAAAATTCTATATTTATTCTTTATAATATTTCATTTATATAAGTTTATCAGCTTATCAATTGCAACAATTTTAATCATTTCTTAAAGTTTGATTTTAACAAATTCATTCTGATAGTTTTATTATTTAGCCTTTCTGTCTATGTTCTTTTAGCAGAAAACAGATTTCAGATCTGTTCATTCATCCATTGCCTCTCGATTCCGCATGTTGTCGAGGCAGATATTACAGATCATTAATATACTGTCGTTGCGCAACTACAACGGCAACATTTTCTTAAAAAATTATAGGAGGCACAAGTCATTAGTAAAGGGCAAATCGCAATAGATATTGGTACTTGTTGATAGGAAGGCATAACTAGTTCGCCTCCAATATCACCCGGATTTTTGGTTAAGTTTGGTTACTCCTACCGTTAGTAAAACTTCAGTAACGACCCACTGAACCATTCCACTTTCTTTTGTTTTTCTCTGTTAAGGGAGAATTTCCGCCCGACAAAGAGTGGTGCGTTAGTTTATCGAGCCCAAAGTTTGATTCTCGCTCGTAATTTTCTTGCCATAGATACATTATTTTAAGTCAGGATTCAAATGAAAATTCAAGCACTTCATTTATGCGATAGCAATAATCTCAGAAATAATCATATGTTGAATCATTGGTGGACAAGTCTTTTGGCCATCCCTTAAGAATGCGCACAGTTATAGTATAGGGCTATTTTATTATTTTGCCTTTGAAATATATAAATGCTTAATAAGTAGTCAATAATAAATAAAATAATTTGCACTGTGAAGAAAATATTCGAGTGGTTTCTTTAGTACAAAGCAGTCATGCAATTTTCGGTTCGATTCTACCATTCATAGAAGTAAACCTATCATTGAAGTTGGGGGACTTAGCTATACTTCTCTCTTAAAGCGACAAACTCTCGAACTGTTAGGATCTGTTCGTAATAGCCATTGGGCCAGCCAAATCAGAAATGCTAATATTTTCCTGTTAAAAGTAGCAGATGACGAATTATTTCAAAAAAAAATTCTTGAAAAATTGTTCAAATGGAAAGCATCATTCCAAATTTGAAAATTTGTTGAGTATTAAATGAATTCAACATTTTATATTGAATTATTGGACAATTTGCGAAGTGTGGAGACTGCCAAATTAAAATGATTGTGGTACTTATATTTTATTTAGTTAAAATCATTAACAATAATAATTATAATAAATAACAGCAATAATAGTAAAATAAAACATTAATAAAAGGCGAGAAATGGTGGAAATTGATAATAAAAGATAAACGTACACCCAGATTTTTATAGATTTATTTCCATAAAAATTTCTCATTTATTTTTTATTTTTTAATAAAATTTTTTTCCTGTTTTTATCTTAAAAATATTAATTTATTTCATGGATTTAATAAGATTTGGTGGAATTTAATTTAAAATCAACGAATCAACATCAACATCTAAGCCTAAAATCCATTTCAAAGTTAATATCATATAAAAGGAATAATAAAATCAAAATAAATCATATAAAATCTCTTTTTTCATGACGAACAATGAAATGATGGCTTTTTTTAATATTTGTTTTTTAATATTTATTTGAATTTAGTAATAATAATTATCCGACCAAATTTTATTAATTTTAATAATTTTAATAATTTTTGAATATGAATTTTGGATTTATAAAAATTCATTTATTCGATTTTTATACACTAAAATTCCTTTCAAATATTCTAATAAAATTGATAAAATATTTTCTAATGAAGGTAATTTCCATAATTTTATTTATATATTATATATTTCCGTAATTTTATTTATTTATTATTTATAAATATATGTAATATATATATTATATATATTTATTTCCATATTTACAATTTTTGTACCTTTTACATTTTCCATTTTTTTCATTTTCTATTTTCTATTTTTTTCTTTATTCTCTTCTCTTTTTCAACCGTGAAATATAAATATAATTGTTACGCGTCTTTCCTGAGAAGGAAAGAAGAGGATGCTGGTCCGTAATAATCTGTAGTTTGTAAAAAAATTGAAATGTTTAATGCTTGATTTATCTATGCATTGTATTATGCTATATCGTACTGTGAAAGAATTTTTACAGTAATTTTGCTAGTGTGTAATTTTATTATTGGTACTTGATTCTTGACTGATGTTTGATGGTGAATGATGCGATTATATGGTGGGTGGTACATGGTGTGCATATACATGGTACTAAATTTTTTCAGTGTTAATTTTTTGATGTACTATATATTACTATGTACTTCTCAGATTTAATTCAAATTAATTGCCTTGTTTTTGAAAAATGTAAGCAAATGATTTCTGTTTTTGATTGTACCATAATGAGAATCAATTAGTTCTTAATTAATAGTTTTCTTAATTTGGTCCCATGTTTTTTTTATCAATTTTCATTTCCACTAATCAATTTTTTTTATTTTAAACACAATTCGGTTAGTTGACTGCTATATTTACTATTTTATTTGAAAATATACCCATATTAATTAATTTTAATGAGTTTTGATTATGTTAATGGACGATAATGATGTGATGAAAGTTGAAAGTTGAAAGTTTTTTTAGCGAATTTTTTGAATGAAACTATGGTTGTTTTCGATCTAAGAATAAACCTATTCCAACAGTACCAATAGTATTTGAAGTGAATGGTACTAGCAGATACATCTACTTGTTTAACTAAATCACAATAGATCTATTTGTTTAAATTATAATCGTCTCATATAAGTTTTAAGAATAAGATTCGTTTTTTTTTCTTTTAATAACCACTAAGTATAATAAGTATAATATAAGTATAATAAAATATTCCATATAATGAAGGTGATTTCCATAATTTTATTTTTGACTTGGCTAGTACCACTGATTACTAGGACGAGAATGGTTCGTTAAAGTTATTTCAAAGCAAAATTACATAACATTACTTTATGGATCCATGACATTGCTTTTTTCACATCCATTATCTTCAATATCATCCTTCATTTGTCCTTATATTATTTTATTTATGTGTTATGAAATTATTTTGATGTGAATTAAAATTTTAGTTAACTTTTAAAAATGAAAATTCAATTTTGAATTTATCAATTTAAATTACTCAGAAAAAAATTTAAAAAATTGCAATAATTATATTTATCTTTTTAAATTTTTAAAAGAAACGAATTCCATAGAAATTTTGCCGGATTATGTCCTCATTAAGTATGAAGAAGAATTAAGAAGAATTATGAATGAATCTTCGCCTAACGGCGACGATGGTGATGGCTGGTGATGCTGATTTGGAAATATTTCAACTTATGAAGGCAGCGTAAGTTAGCCAATTCAGAAATAATCGGTGCTAGAAGCAAAGTAAAAATAAAGAAAGGCGACAAATTCTCATGAAAATTCTAAAATTGAAGGATTATCTTGATTAATAAAAATTTTCATTGGTTCAAATTTTGTACAGAGAAATTTTTTATTGTCGTTAAATTATTATTTATATGGCATTTGTCGATTTTTTAAAGTTCTCTGTTTTCACTTCACTTTTTATCGTTCATTTTTGTCATTTTTATCATTGTCATTTATCATTTTTATCACTTTTTGAAGTTTTTTCATCATTATTAACATGTTCCTCAATATGATTTCTTCTAAATCACGTTGTTAAGAAATATTTCAAAAATTTTAGAAATGAAATTCGATGATTTACTTGTGAAATATTTGGGTGATTTCGGTCGTTATCAGTTGATACAATTCTCTTTACTATGTTTACCGATAATCTTTACGGCGATACATTCATTATCATGGACATTTGTTGCTTCACCTCTTCCACATCGGTATTTTAATTTAATTTTGCAAATAGATGATTTATAGAGAAGATTCCATTTTTACAGATTTATTTCTCAGTCAAAATTCATTTAAATATTGCATAATTATTTATCAATAGGTGTCGCCTTCTTGAAGAACCACCAAATGCAACATATTTAATTGATAACTCATTATTTTATCCGAATTCTTGTAATAGTACTAATTGTATCCAAGAATGTCAGCTTGGCGATCAGAAATCTTGTCCATATGGATACATTTTCGATAACAAGGATATTACTTATTCAGCAATTCAAAGAGTTGGGATTTTTTGATAATTTGATAATTTGCCTTTCATTTTTTCTTTTAGCATCATTCGCTATTTTTGGATTCCATCGCTTTATTGGCCTTTTAGGACGAGACCTTTCTACAGGAAATTATTTGAGAGTGGGAATGAATCTACACTGGGCACATGGAGTTCTAATTGATCAGTTTGATATGAAATTCTTTATTTTATGGTTGTTCTTATTTCTCATGGCTAACCAACTACATCTCAAAAGGACAAATTATAATTTTTTTCAATTTATTAACAAATTTGTTTAATTTTAGTGGGAAATCGTTTGTGATCGCCAAGTTTTAAAAGCTGTAATACAATCGACATACTATATTGGCCAAGCGTTTGGTTCAATTTTCTTTGGTTTCCTTGGTGATCGGTAAATTTTTTTGAGTTTTTCTTTCAAATGTATATTGTATTTAATAATTTAATGTTGGATAGCTGTTATAAAAATTAATATTACAATAATAGTGATAAGTACTGTACATTGAAGTAATTTATGCAATAAGGCTTTATTCAAAGAATATCAATTTTAACTTTTAACTTTTCGTTAACAGGTTTGGTCGAAAAAAAGCATTTTGTTCAGCAATACTAATGCAGGTACTCGCATGTATGTTGATGATAATTGTCCCACACTGGTCTCTTTATGGCATACTTCGCATGGTTACTGGATTTGCCCATCCGGGCCTCTTCTCAATAGCTATCGTGCTCGGTTAATTTCGCTTTTATTTATTTATTTATTGAAAACCAGCCAAATATGGCGACAAAGCCATGCTTGTATTAATAACAACAGTTAAAAAAACAAATAAAATTTATTAATGAGAAAAATAGAAAATAGACAAAAATTAACAGCTTAAAGAGGAAATAAAAAAGAAATTGCAGAATAATATAATATTCAGAATACAGAATAGTACAATTCGAAATAACTGTATATAATCGGATGGTAAAGATCGAGATTACTTCCTGCATGATGTGATCTTTTAAATATCATTAATGATATTATCTTTTTTCAAAGATAGCTAGGGATGGCGCACAAGCTATGGCGTTCGGTAATTTATTCCAGTAATTAATAGTACAAATAAAGAAATCCTTAGAAATGAGTCCTTAGTTCAGTTTCACATATTTATTTTAGTAATTTTAGCCCATTAGTTCTTGCTGGATTCAAATTTAGCCTAAAATTATAGTATTTTGAACAATCTAGTTTAATATAAGCATATAGAATCTTATAATTATAAATTAAATCTTGTTTAATTCGTCGAATTGAGAGAGAATCCAGGTTGCATTATAGAAGTTTTCTTTTATAATTAAAATTGCAATCGGGAAAGAGGCGTATAAGATATTTTTAGAGTTCTTCAATTATTTTACTTGATTTACGATATTTCGGGGAGTAACATGTAGTATTGTAGTCAAGAAGTGGCCGAACGAACGCTTTGTACATTTTGATAAGAAAATCTTGAGTTTTTTTCTTGAAGAATAAATAAAAATAAGAAAAATAGAATGTAGTATCTTTGAGGAATTTTTTACCATGGTTCTGCAGTGAAGGTCGAAATTGCGATTTTCATCCATGATTATTCCAAGATCGGAAACATGTGAGACTCTTCTGATTATATTACCATTAATATAAAGATTAGGAAAATCGAATCCTTTAGAATCCTTTAGAAATGAAAAACGGTACACTTTTGAAAAGAAAGGATAATTTGCCTGTCATATAGCCAGTTACCTATTCTGTTGAGATTCTCTGCTGTGGAGATAGGCCATCTACCATGAGAATAATATATTTTAATCAGCATAAAGATAAATGGTATAATTAGTACCACTTTAGTGATATCATTTATATATAATAGAAAAAACAATGGCGCAATACAGTTACCTTGCGGAACACCAGATTTAACTGATGTCGTGTCAGAAAGAATGGAATGTTTTTGAAACATACACCCTGGTGATCTTTTATGTAATCTGACACCCAGTTATATAGGCACAAAATTTTAGAGTCCTTTTCAAATTTGCTACTATTTTTCAAGCAACCGTTTTCTATGTTTGATATATTAAGATCACCAACAATTCCATGAACAATAATTTTGACCTGAATTACGAGTTGTAAAGATCCCTAGTAAATTTGCTTCCATAGCGAGGTGGGCAGTATTAATTTAAAAAGGAAATATTTCTATTATTAAGGTAAATTTTAGTTATCAGAAATTCGAAAGGGGAATCAAACATATCTTCAAAAGTTGCAAATTATAATCAGGAGCAAGCGTGATAAGCTCCACGAATATTCAAACTATTTGTTGTCCTTGCGTGATACTATAAAGCCATCGAAGTAACTCCCGATACTCCCGATTTTCAGCAGAGTCATCAAACCATGTTTCATTAATACAAAAAATACTATTTGGGTTATCAATTGGTAAGAGCTGTAGATCATAAAATTTAAATTTTTAAAATAAAATTTTAAAACATTTCAAAACATTATATGCATTAAATCTATACATCAAATCTATATCTATACATAAAATCTATACATAGAAAAATTGCTTTGCTTCCTATTTTAAATCTATACATAGAAAAATTGCTTCCTATTTTATTAAACTTACTTGGTAAGTTGTCATAGGTTGCTGCAGACAGACGAGAAAATATTGGAATCGAAAAATTTTAGAAACCATTGGCAAGATAGTCTGAGTTCCACTATTTGAAGATTTCTGACGACTTGCTTCTTCAGATTAAGATTCTGATTTCGCATATAACGTTCTTTTCGCAATTATTTGTCTAGCAATATTTATCTTTTCATTAAATTTTTCGGCAGTGTTTCCATAAGGAACAATCTAGCGCACATTTTTATTGAGCAAAACAGACATAGCCATGCACTTTATCTTCAAGTTGAATCTTAAGTACTCGTGGCCTGCCTGACTCCTTCGATGTTGACGAACTTCCTTGTTCTATGTTGACATGTTGATGAACTTTTAAATTAATCGGTCTTAATCCATACCATACAGCTACAATATTTTCTGCTAAGAGTCTATCGGCAATAGTAGTCCGTAGATTTTTCCGAAATATTTATGCAACTAGACATGATTCTTCTTCCTTTTTTTCGAAATATTCATCGATACTTTACAATATTTGTTCAGTTGAGATTTTTAGAGGCTCAAAACTGTCATCCAAAGAAGCTTTCAAATTGTTAATATCATTCTTAAGTTCTTCGTTATTCGTTTACCTTTGTAAATATTTCAACAGATCTGGTTAAATGCAGAATTAAATCTTGTTGCTTTTCATATTTCTTAGTGTTGGAGGATTTTTATTTAAGCAGCTGGCATCATTACTAGAAACTATTCCATTAGTTGCTTGCCAATTTTTTCAGTGCCATTTTTGAAAAGAATATCATTTTAGACGAATGCAATAAGAATAATATTAATATCAACAATATTCATTCTATAGTTTTAGTGAAGCACAACACTTAATAAAATAATGAATAATAAAATAATAATGAATAATGAATACAGAAAAAATGACTAACACAACCTCTCACGAGAATACAATAGTAAAGAATTTTACTCGCTGTTGAATCCAAAACATTAGAATTTCAATTTATCCAAGAAGTCAAAAAATGATGAAAACTATGCAGAATCAAAAACTTTCGCTTTAGACGCATTTTATGCAATTCTCGATTTTAGGTATGGAATTAGTTGGACCTTCCAAAAGAAAAGTTGCTTCAGTAGTAGATGGAATATTTTTCGCTCTTGGACAAGTTTTTCTTGGAGTAATGGCATATTTTTTTCGCAATTATCAATATTTACAACTGGTAATTTCGCTACCATCTGTCATGTTTCTCAGTTATTGGTGGTTAGTTTTTTTTATGCAAAATGTTTGAATTAGGTCCATTCCTTTTCTTAGATGGCAGCAAAAATTTTGGAAAATAGAGAGCATTAATATTAGCAAATAATTTATATCTATTTTATATAAGATGCATACCCCACTGATTGTGGTAGTATAGGAATAATACCATTGCTATTATTGCTTTCATTTTTTTCTTTTTACCATGCGAACTGTTTTTTACTTTGACCAGCTTTTCCGGATATGTATAACAATGACTCCCCAAAATCTCTTAGGGCTAGCGATATAGGCGAGTCCACAACAAGAGCACATTAGTTTATTACGCAACAAGTGTTTAGGCTCGTCCCTGAGAGTGCTCGTTGGTTAATTTCATTGAAACGCTTCGAAGAAGCTGATGTTATCCTCCAGAGAGCCGCTAAAATCAATGGGAAAAAATTGCCAGAAGCGTGGTGGGAACAGATTGAGAGTCTTGACGATTCAAAATCGACTGCCAAAGATCAAATGCACAAGCGTTACAATATTTTGGATCTTTTTCGGACGAGGCAAATAAGAATTCGAACTCTTGCCTGCCTTTTTATTTGGCCGGTATTTTATTAACTGCAAAATTTAAAATTTTATAAAAATTTTATGTTATAGTCATCTTTAGAATTTTTGTTTTTTATTAAGATATTTTCACGAGTATTTCTTAGAAAATTCTTCGAATTTCATGTTTTAACTTTAAAAATTTTTGTTTAGGTTGTATCGATGATCTATTATGGAGTGTCGATGAAAACCGATTTTCTTGGTGGTGATTTTTATTTCACATTTATAATTGGCGGCCTTTCTGAAATTCCTGCATTATTACTTGTTTACTTAATTCTCGATCGAGTTGGTCGCAAAATTGTGCTTTCAGCTGGTTATTTTATCGCTGCATTTTGTATACTTACAAATCTTATCATACCATCGTCAGGTAATTTCCCCTTTTCTCATTAGATAAATTTTTTTATTAAATTTGGTTTTTTATTTTTTCTTTTCCTGCTATTCACATTCACTGTTGATTTTCACATTGGATTTTCAAATTTTCTCAATATATTTTACTATTTTATATAGTATGAGAATTAATGAAAGCGCCATTTCTGGTTTGTCTCGGTCCAGTAGTAACTACGGTGAGGCAATTTCATAAGTATTCAAGTCTTATCAGTTCCATCCTCGCTTTTAACACCATCTGAGCTTCAGTATGTACGAGGCATGCACGATTTATATGGTCTTACGTTAGGTGATGAAGATCCTTCTAGCATTCTACGCGACATTTTTTTATTCTAGGTATTGAATATATAATAGTAACAAATAACTAAAAAGAAAAAATTTTTCAGCCCATTGGTCGATAAATATCGTTCAGTTTTTATTGGCAAAAGCAGCAATAACATCGAGTTATGCAGTTATCTATACTATTACGCCTGAACTTTTCCCAACTGTAATTCGCAATATTGCTATGGGATGTTGTTCAATGATTGCTCGTATTGGAGCTATATCGGCTTCTTATATTTCTATGTGGATTGTTAGTTTTTTTCTCGGTTTCATTCCTTATTATCTAAACATTCATCATAAATCCTTGTTTGAAATATTTATTTCATTTATCCATCTACGATATTTTAATTTTTTATGGTTTATTTACTGATATTCAGGTAGAATATATTGGTAAATGGGCTATGATTATTCCTTTTGGAAGTTTCGCATTAGCTGCAGGATTTGTTGTACTTTTTTTTATTCCTGAAACAATGGGCAAACCTCTTCCTGAAACAATAAATGATATAGAACGAAAGCAGTCAATTGATGCTGAAGCCATGATTATGACAGTTAACCTAGAAAGAGAACAAGAACATTAATTTTGTCCCATCAGTTTATTCGTTTCGATCCATATAAATCTCTGACTAAATTTTTTTTTTGTTTTTTATAGAGTTCGGATGATGGAAAAAACTGAACAAAATTTAGGATTTCAAGTTGTAATTATTCAATGTTATTCAGATATTTTGTGGTGCTTCTATTATTTTTTTTGAATAGATCGATTTTTCAAATTGGTTTTCGTAAATTTTTTGTACGATATTAACGATGGATAATTGGTTCGGTATAAAAAAAAATCTATCTTAATAAATTATTTTTTAGTGATAAAAACGAAAAATTATCAAAAGGTAAATGGTTAATTAGTTTTTGTAGGCTCACAATGTTCAAAAAAGGATGTTGGTAAATGGGCCATGATTATTCCTTTTATATGGTATTAACTTTGAAATGGGCTTTAGGCTTAGATGTTGATTCGTAGATTTTGTTGTAATACCCCTTCTCTTAACGTATCACTTATATATGATTCATTTGACGTTTAATATTAGTAACAGATTTATTTCTAATGATGGATTAAAAACTTGTAGGAGTTCACCAACCAGTTCTTTTCTCTTCTCAGAAGAAACGAGTGAGAAATATCTTTCACGATTGAAAAAGAGAAGAGAAAATAAAGAGAAAAGAAAAAAACGAAAGAAGTAAAAAGTACAAAAATTGTAAATATGGAAAGAAATATAAATAAATATAAATAAAATTATGGAAATTACCTTCATTAGAAAATATTTTATCAATTTTATTAGAATATTTGAAAGGAATTTTAGTGAATAAAAATGAATAAATGAATTTTTATAAATCCAAAATTCATATTTAAAAATTATTAAAATTAATAAAATTCGGTCGGATAATTATTATTATTAAATTCAAATAAATATTAAAAAACAAATATTAAAAAAAGCCATCATTTCATTGTTCGTCATGAAAAAAAAGATTTTATATGATTTATTTTGATTTTATTATTCCTTTTATATGATATTAACTTTGAAATGGATTTTAGGCTTAGATGTTGATGTTGATTCGTTGATTTTAAATTAAATTCCACCAAATCTTATTAAATCCATGAAATAAATTAATATTTTTAAGATAAAAACAGGAAAAAATTTTATTAAAAAATAAAAAATAAATGAGAAATTTTTATGGAAATAAATCTATAAAAATCTGGGTGTACGTTTATCTTTTATTATCAATTTCCACCATTTCTCGCCTTTTATTAATGTTTTATTTTACTATTATTGCTGTTATTTATTGTAATTATTATTGTTAATGATTTTAACTAAATAAAATATAAGTACCACAATCATTTTAATTTGGCAGTCTCCACACTTCGCAAATTGTCCAATAATTCAATATAAAATATTGAATTCATTTAATACTCAACAGATTTTCAAATTTGGAATGATGCTTTCCATTAGAACAATTTTTCAAGAATCTTTTTTTTGAAATAATTCGTCATCTGCTACTTTTAACAGGAAAATATTAGCATTTCTGATTTGGCTGGCCCAATGGCTATTACGAACAGATCCTAACAGTTCGAGAGTTTGTCGCTTTGAGAGAGAAGTATAGCTAAGTCCCCCAACTTCAATGATAGGTTTACTTCTATGGACGGATAGAATCCAATAGATGATATATACAGTATATCTGAAATGATTTCCTATATGGCTTTTTATCACCTCCATCAGAAGAACGGTTATTTTGTTGATTATACAGTTGAATTTTTAGAAAATTTTTAAATGAGCGATCGTTTTGTATTTTTATCAACGATATTTATTGATCATAAGAAATATTTTAATGGAGTGAATTCCGAAGTTTTTCAAATTGGAAATGAGGAAATCGTCAATCATCAGTGGCCTAATCATGTTGGAATAGAATAAAGAATAGAAATTTCTTTGATTTAAAACATTCTCATGGCTACAGTCTTTTGTTAATTTCCAAGTGATTTTCGAATGGTTATTGAAAATCACTGAGTTGATTTTGTAATATGTCGTATCCGTCATTTGCAAAATACCAGCGATGTTAACAAAACCAAGCATTAAGCTCAAAAAATATGAAAAATGCAGAATTTTTTCGTTAGTTTTTTGTTCCTTTAGATATTGCATGGCATATAGAACAGAAAAGGATCGACTTGGCTTAGCGTGTTACTACTACAAATTTATCACTTGCAATATCTATCTAGCTATCGAAGTCAAAAATTAAATTTATTTCCTTCTTGTTCACGTTTTAAGTTTATGGTGACTATCGCTTTTTAAGATTTATTGAGATGAATGAAATTTCTTCTTCTTCTAACAGCTCTCACCATTACTGGTTAGGGCTAAGCTGGTTCTATCGGCTACAAGGGTAAGACGCTTCCAAGCGGCGCGGTCTGATTATATCGTCGACAGTAATGGAAGCCATTCCTTTTTCCATCGTCTAAGTCCATATATTGCTGGTCCACCTATACGTTCAAAATCTTTTCTCACCGTATTAGGCCAGGTCTTGGCTGGCCCATCTCGTTTTTGACGCAAACCATCACACGGTTTAGCAAATAACGAAATATGCTTCAACTCCTGTGGTGGACGATGGAGAATGTACCCTAACCAGATCCGTCGAGCGAAGGCGGCGCTTTCTGATAACATTATTTATACAAGTAGTATTTGAACGAAGATGGATGCGATCATGTGATATCTTATCCGCTCGACGGATCCATAATATGTACCTTAGACAAGAGTGGTCAAAGGCAGATAACTTCTTAATATCCTCCATTCTCATTGGCCATGTCTCAGAACCATATAGCAAGATCGAACGGATCACGGCTATATAGATGCGGACTTTCGTTTTTATGGTGATTTCACGACGACTCCATAAAGGCCAATCGGAAGAACGCATTTCTAACTGATTCGAGTTGCAATATCATCTTTTGCCTGTCCATTTGGTGTTAGGGTGGGTAGGGTGGACCCAAGGTATTTGAAATCAGGCACTTCCTCAAATCGGATGAATTTCAAGAAGACATTTTATCAGCTTCATAAGACGAAATGACTTTCGTTTTATTTATATTAATCCTCAGTCCGATTCTTGCTGCAGTTTCTGATACCTTATTTAGTATTGCATTTCGTTATAACTTCGTCAGCAAAAAGGTCTACATCATCAGCGTATTCAAAATCTGTGATACGATGCTCTGGATTAATTCGACACCTCTTGAGTGCCGACAAGCGGTATCCATTCTAGTTGCATAGTTAAATGGGGAAAGGACGCAGCCCTGACGGACACTTGTTCTTATTTCGAAAGAATCTATCAGCTCCCCATATACACAGATCTATTCCTGTGCTCATAAAATGCCTTTATGAGTCGAATGATCTTCTTTTGAGCACCGTCACGTTCCATCGTTCTCCAAAGCGCCGCTCTATCAATTGAATCAAAGGCAGCTGAAAACTCGATGAAACACGTGACAGTGGGTTGCAAATATCTGATGTTCCAACATCATTTTTAACGTGAATATCTGGTCAGCACAACCGCGCCCTGGACTGAAACCAGCTTGATTAGGGCGCATCCTGCTATCTCGTACTTCCATAAATCTGTTGAGTAGTAGGGAAGCAAAAATTTTTGTTGCGACATCTAGTAGGTTGATAATTGTCCTCGTCCTCGATAATTGTCGCAGTATGTCCTATCACCTTTCTTGAGAATTGGGAGCAGAATTGCTTTGCTCCAATCATCTGATAATATTTCTTTTTTCCATACTAAAAAGTACAAGAGTACTAAAGAGTTGAAGGTGCGTTATGAAGGACGATGGACAGCATTTGAAAAGCTCAGCCCATCAGGAGAAGACCATCTTCTCCTGGAATCTTATTGGTCTTAAAGTTATGGATAACTGAAATCATTTCTTCTTATATTGGAGGCTTGTTTTCAAGCGTATGCTTCGACAAACGTATCAGCTTTCGTTGCAAATCTTCAAAACACCTGTTAGTCAGGATCATATTCATGCTTTTTCAGATTGGACAATTGCTTCAGATACCCAACTAGCATACTTCCTACTAGTATTCCCTAGCGTGGAAGTGGCTGATTTTCTGAGACATTCCTTTAGTTTGGACCAACATTCTTTTGCAGTTCCAGAAAAATCATTAATATTTGTATCATTGAGATGCTTCAATAATTCGGTTTGAAATGCGCTCATTGTATCCGAATTTTTTAATTTGAGATAGTTGAAGGATCTTGGGGGATGCTGTTTTTTGCGATTTTATGCGGATCTTGGCTCGAACCATAACATGGTCGATCCATGAAGATTGCCCGTTTAAGCTTTGCGATAGGAACAACTACGTAGTACGGAATAATGGCGACTGACTAAGATATAATCAATCTGGTTATTTGTCAGGGGAGTTCCACGTGATTTTCTCTTTTTTTTGATGAATGGAGTTTGCAAGGAACGAATCTCTTTTTGTAAATTTTACAAATTGTTAACAAAAAACTTCGGTTTTTTAGTGGAAAAGAATGAGGCACATGAATGCATCAATGTATGCATGCTTCGTCAAAAAGTCTCTTATTTATCGGAAGGCCTCCGCCACATTTATCAAAGTAGTGATTTTCTTATATAGTGGCCATCAAACTGGCCATTACTAATCCTCCGATGACGACTGCATGGGTGCCTCATTCGAATTTTCTACGGTTATTTCACTCGAAAGATTTTTATGATTTTATGATTTATTTTATGACCTTCTTTTATGATTTTATATTTAGAAATTATTTTGCGAAGTTTATCATATTAATTCAAAAATCTTAGGTGGAAAAATTCAATGAATACCTTCAAATTTTGAAAAATTTTAATTATAATCGAAAACATAAATATTAAAATAATATTAATATTCTATGGTATATTATTATAAAATATTATACCATAGAATTTCATAAGGCATTAAACAGAGAAAGCGAGTATTCCATTAATATTCAATGTACAGCAAATGATTATAGTTAGCATTTTATCAATAAAAATATTCCCAAGAAGTATGTTATCGAAAAACGAAATGATATG